GGTGTTTAACATATTATTGTCATTTTTATATAAGTTTAATTTATATATCACCATAAGGAAGTATCTTGCCATATTTGCCAGCCATTGAACCTGTTTCTTGAAAGCAGTACAGACATATATATACTAAGCCGCAAAAGAAACGTCATTTTGGAATTTTCCTTCACAGAAACGGATAACTGTAAACTCATTTAATGTTTTGATTGTGTATTTTTGACAACATCTCCAACTTTACCTGAGCAAAGACATTCCTTCCCAAACTCAGAATGGAACCCAGGAAATGGTCTAAAAAATGCAACCTGATCTCAGAGATGGTACGGTGTTCTCCATGTTTTTCATGCTGCACGTGCTGTTCACAAGGACCAGCCCTATAAAATGCACCCCCAAACCTGGTTGAAACATTCACATTACAACATCAGCAGGATGCCGTGACTCACGACAGCTCAGAGGAACCAGGTGCTAGGAAGACTTGAAGCTGGCCACACTGCACAAGCCCTTGCCAATCACTTCCAGGTCAACGTTCGGACCATCTACAGGCTGCAGCAACGTTTCCAGGCCACCAACACCACAAATGATCAACCCCTTACTGGCAGACCAAGGGTGACCACAAGACGACAAGACCACCATGTTGTGCGACAGGATGTACAGAATCCCTTCATGCAGGCATCCGAAACAGCACGCCAGACAGTGGGAACACACAGAAGACAAATCAGTACTGATACAGTACGCCAATGTTTTAACAGCGGGAACCTCCATTGCTGTAGACCTTACCGTGAACGTATCCTCACCCATCGTCATCGGCATGAACATCTACAGTTTGCCCTACAACACCAAAACTGGCGATAGAGGCAATGGAGAACTGTTCTGTTCACAGATGAGAGTCGGTACTGCTTATCAACTGCAGATGGCAAAACAAGAATATGGCAGCAACGTGGTCAGTGTTACTCAGACCAATGTGTTATGGAAAGAGACTCATGGGGAGGTGCAAGCATCATGGTATGGGGTGGAATAGGCCTGAACCAGAGAGTGGGTTCCGTGGTGTTCAGAACCTTGGTCCAGGGAGAGGAGGCGGCATCACAGTGGTGCGCTACATCGAACAAGCTCTCAGACCCCACGTCATACCACATTTCGCACGTCACCGGAACAACATTTTCCAGCATGATAACGCCCCGGGCCCATACTGCCAGAGCTACACAGGACTTCCTACAGCAGAACGGTGTCAACATTATCACTCATTCTCAATAAAAGGGCGCATTTTTGTCGCAGCTCTCTGTGTTTTCCTGATATTTCTTTTTTAGTGGATTCTTTTGCATTTTGCAACATATCACCACCCATACTAAAGATTTAAACAGCACGTGTCTACCACATGTCGGGAATAAATTAAATATATCCAATTAATTGTTCATTTTGAAACGTACGTGACTGTCGCCGCAAGTGGTAGACACACCTTAAACGACAGTCAGTATGTAATTTTCATTACCGATAAACCGGTAAACTGACTGTAGTATTTTGCAATGATAGACGTTTCATTTACCTATCAAATAAACTAAACAGGACGTTAAATAACTTAATTGTCAAGTCTAAAGTGTCTGTCGCCAGTTTGTAATTTATGAAAATTTGTGTCAGCTTTCTTTAGTTTATTTAAGGATTTGAGGCACTGTTTAAGATATATGTGAGTATGATACATCTGTTTTGAGATGAGCTGTGAAAAGAAGTCTGACGGATCCCCAAACTTGAATGTTTCTACTGTGTCCCTGTTTGAACAAGGCCTGTCAAAAGCGTATGGTTAAGGATGTAATGTACATGACTATTATAATATCAAAGTAAACAAAATATATCCTAATTTATCTTGCATGATAATTATAAACATTAATGGTCTCATCATGATATCAACATTTTTTGTTTAATTCTTAACAAGTTTGAACAGATATTAGGAAATTGTTGATAGAAAGAAATGTACGTTACTGAAACGTATGATACCAGTACATTCGGATTTCCTTATTCCGACGTTGCCCAGCTCAATACGACTTTTGCACACGTCACTATTTTAACTCACCACGTGTCATAGAGTCCTGAGGCGGCAGATCTACGAATTAATACCTTAAGTATCGCTCAAAATATGATTAAATGGTGATTGAAACTTTAGTATCAATATGTTTCTTTGTCTCATAGGCATAACTCGAGGCATTACTTTGAGTCCAAAAATAGTATGTTTAAAACAAAGACTACTTGACAACTCTTGTTGTATATTATGTACCTAATACTCTACTCTGAAATAATCTTATAGTTAATGAATATATATTAACTATATTTTTCGACTTTTGATATGGTCAAATGTGCCCATTTATTGAGAATGAGTGTATGCAGTGACCAGCCCTTAGTCCTGATTTAAACCCAATTGAACATCTTTGGGATGAAATTCAGAGGAAACTGAATAATGTCATACCAAGGCCGAACACAGCCGATTTATTGCACCAGGTCTTTCTCAAAGTGTGGTTCAAGGTGCCAATGGCCTTCATCAATTGATTGGTGCACTCCATGCATAGACGCTGTGCTGCAGTTATTGCTGCTCGTGGTGGTCACACTAGATACTGAAGTCAAGGGTCTGAATGGACTGCAAACGTTCACATAATGTCTTGAAATTCTGCTGAGTTATTCATTGATGTGTCAAGATATTGTACATAAAAAATGTTTTTTATCTGCTTATTATGTCTATTTCTGTAATGATTTGATTACAGTGCCTATCTAATTTTGAATTCGTACTGATGGGGTTTTTTGCTGCTGAGTATATTTAGTTGTCAAACCAAATCCTGCCTAGTATCGCCCATTTCCTGGTTCCAGTGAGTGAATGAATTTATTTTTACGCCACTTTTAGCAATATTCCAGCAATATCACGGCAGGGGACACCAGAAATGGGCTTCACGTATTGTACGCATGTGGGGAAACAAACCCGGGTTTTGGGTATGACGAACGAACGCTTTATCCACTAGGCTACCCCACCACCCCTCCTGGTTCCAGAAAAATCCATCTATTCTATACTTTAAAGAAGGTGACCATTAGCAAAACTTTCTTTCTTATTTTCACAGTTTTGATAGGTTATTTCCCTGTGCTGAGATGTAGTATATATACTCAGGGAAATAATAAGTGACTAACAAGATATATACAGGCAGACTGAATTTTTTTGCATCAAATAAAAAATTCATTATAAGTAAACATTCAATATATTTTAGCCAAATTTCAACAAATGACCAAAATATTTCTTGGTTGCAGGGATGCCATTTTAATTTGGTTGCAGGGATGCCATATTCTGATCGAATGATGTTCATAATATTACCCACTGGTTTGTCCATTGGATTCATTTATTAGTCAAAGATCAGACGGAAATATATTGACACAGTCATGAAATTAAACCACAAAGCAGGTGTTATTAATGATTTATGTAAAACCTTATGTTTCACTTTAAAAAAAGTAAAACCTCACATCAGGTATTACTGGGAAAGTAAGACCTCCTATACTTATTCCTGACCATAAACTTGACTGAGTCCAAATACTTGCTCAAAGGAGGAACCTGCATTTAGAACAATGGGATGGCGTCATGGGAGGTTCATGATTTACTAAGTAAGACCTATCCCCCTTCAGGTCTTAAAGCCCAAAGGAATGTTGGTCTCAGACATTTATCACTATAGTGGAACTGCTGAGAATGGTCTTGGTTCAGACAAACAGAAAAATATCTGTTGATATCTGGATTCTGGATACTGGGATTCCCCAAGGGATAGCATCCTGCTTTGAGAACTGTGTCACCTTTGGTGACAGGCCAACTGTGCTCCCAAATCATCGAAACATACATGCAGCCTGTCTACTTGATCCAATTTAGTACCTTGTAATGACCAATGCCAACCCTTTGACCCCTCATGACATTGTAGTGCACAAACTGCCCAGTTGATATTAGAGAGAAATCCCTATTAGAGACCTATCTCCCTTCAGATCTTACTTCTACAACCAAGAAATCATTGTCGGTAGTGACCTTTACGTAACTACCAGCCTACACCAATGTCAGACTGGAAGCACCAGCTTCTCTGATACATCACATCAGTATTGATGTTAGCCTTAAACAAAGTATGCAGCTTGTTTGGGTTAGTCTGGCAGTTAAAAACTTAGTAAAAACATTAAACACTCCCAAACACATACCACTGAAGTGCACCTTGAATATTTAGGTGATTCCACAGATAAAGACGTTTAATGTCTGCCATCATGCACACTGGCTGTCAGGCTTGCTGGTGGATGAATGCTGCCACGTAACTGGTAATGTAGGTGAGTGAGTGAGTCTGTGGGTCTGTGGGTGAGTGAGTTTTGTTTTACGCCACACTCAGCAATATTTCAGCTATATGGTAGTGGTCTGTAAATAATCGAGTCTGGACCAGACAATCCAGTGATCAACAGCATGAGCATCGATACAGCAAGGACATCGATTGGGATACTATGACATGTTTCAATACGATCCCGTTAGTCGCCTCTTATGACAAGCATGGATAATGAAGATCAATTCTAACCCGGATCTCTATAATTAATCAACTGCGAGTGAGTGGATAATTATCTGCATATACAAGTCTGTGGTTAATCAAGATAAGAACAGCCAAACCAATGACTGAAAACATGAGCACCAATCAATACCACTCAGGTGCTGGTGAGGTGAAATGTGGTCTAATGTCACATTCAAGATAATGGTGCTTTTACCGTTACACCTGCACATGCATGTTCACTCTTGTACCACTTCAGACTGAAGTTGGTTTCATGGTGCTATCCCACTAACATATGATGCAGTTTTAACATGGATATCCTATTGAGACAGAAAATACGGACTTCGAGCCGACGAGCCCTTGTTTTATCTCCTTTTTTCCTGACAGACAGGTAAAATTAAGTATTTTAACATCTATTCTGATGATACAGCCTAGAATGTGACCAATGAGCTTCGTTTAACACTGCCTTAAACAGTACTTCAGCTATATCTCATCAGTCAGCCTAACTTGGAATTAAAGCCCAAAGGAATGTTGATCTCAGACATTTACCACTTTCCCAGATAGCATTCGGACGTTGGCCCAACGTTGGCAATGTTGGCAAAACCATTGCCAACATTGGGCCAACGTCTGGATGCTATCTGGGTTGGTGGAACTGGTGAGAATGGTCATGGTACAAACATAAAATTATCTGTGAAAATTTGGGATTCAGGATACTATGATTGCCCAAGGGACTCCATCCTGCATTGAGAACTGTGTCGCCTTTGGTGACTGGGCACCCATGATCCCAAATCATGCAGCCTGTCTACCTGATCCAATTTAGTACCTTCTGATGACCAATGTCCCCGTCATGACCTTGGAGTGACCCACTGGCCAGTAGCCTTCCTTAACAGCATTAGAGAGAAATGTCAAGAGTCAATTGCTTGATATCTACACACTACAGTCCTTCAGGCTGAAATACATCGTGCATCAAACCATGAATCTTTAATTTCTAATCACATAATGGCATTAATTGAATTATCACAATCTGACAGGAATCATTTTCATGTATGTACTACATAGGTAGAGCAAGGTGAAGGTCATATCCCAGTTGGAATTTCACTGTTAAAGTACACAAAAATTAACTCACTACAGCTAGTGATTGAGGGAGTTAGGTTAGCTCTATGTTGCCTTGAACAATATTCCTGGTTAATCAAAGTGTTTTGGAAAGCCAGTAACACCTCAGAATGGTAGGGTGAAATTCAGGTATGTCATTTTGCAAATTCCAGGTTCAAATGACAGAACACTTTGCACGAAAAGCTAAACAAGCAAAAATCTTGTATGTAAAGTCTATTCTATGAGAGATGCCACAGTGGCTTGGGAGCAATGTATTTGATTGGATTTGACTTGAGAATCAACAGGCAGTGACTTGGAACTTAAAACTAACAATGCAGAGACAAGAAGGTAAAATTGATCGAAATGCTTTTATAGAAATGTATTTTTTTCTCTCATGTGAGATTGCATCAGTATATTGCTCTTCCTACTTTAAACAGGTATATCAATAAAACTGTATGTGTTTTTCCTGTTTGTTGGCTTACCATGCATGGCAAGTACATATTATGGTGATTGTCAGATGTGTGAACTAAAACCTTCGGAATAAAAAGCCAATACTGTAACATTGATTGATTGAGTTTAGTTTTACGCTGCTTATAGTAATATTACAGCAATAATACGGTGAGAGACACCAGAAATGGGTTTCACATATTGTACCCATGTGGGGATTTGAACCCGGGTCTTTGGCATGACCAGTGAATGCTTTAACCACTTGGCTACCCCACTGCCTCAAAATTCTGCAACAACAACAAAACCAATACTGTCGTAGTGTGTGGTCCTGTGTGTAGAGCCAAGGTCACGAAATTACAGTCTGTTTGACTAGAAAGTGTCCCCATGAATTACTAAATAAATCAGTTTAGAAATGTAGTTATCGTCATCAGCACACAGCAGTTACCACGAAATTCCCATGCATCAGATGCACCTGTCTATTCCCATTGCTGCTGTGCTCCCCTCCATGCCAACTGTCAACAATCATGTTTATAATGATGATAGTTTGTTAAACAACATTTTCTGTGATGCATGACAATTTCTAATAGCTGAAAAGGTGTTTGGGTACAGGTTATTCCTGAACATCTTGCCTCGTAATATGTATTATATTAATTAACTACCTTTCTAAACTGATATACTTAGCAATTGATGGGGACACTTTCTAGTCAAACACACTGTAGTTGAAGTTAAAGAACATTGGTTGCAGACATTCCTTGGGTGACAGTATTTGGCAGATTGTCTCCTGAGAGTTTCTGGGACTTCAGTCTTCCTCCCAACAATGAAGCACACGTGACACATGTGGTCTCACCTTTGGCAAGGGAGTTTGTTCATTAATTGCCTCTGTCCACCCAGCAGTGAATGGGTACCCAGTGGGATAAGTCATATGACTGTTAACCTTCTAGCGCCTCACAGGCAGCTTGGGTTATCTGGGGTAATAATGCTTTAGCACAAGTGCGTGGAAACAGTTGCGTTACAAATAGCCATTATTATTATTACAATGAACTATCTAGAAATGGTATCAAAATCAGTAAATAAGGAAATGAAAATATCTATATCACCATGCATTCCTGACCAGAATGATGATCAATGTAATTCTCCATTTTGACTTATACCATATGTTAAAGTGTTTACGTGAACATTTGACATGCCTTTGCATGTGTTTGTGATGGGTTCCACAAGTATCACCTTGTATCATCTCTTACTAATAGAGATTCAAAAAAGCATACTTATGTTATGATTGAAACCATGCTTGGCTATCGGCAGAGATCTGTTTACATAGATATATACACAGAGTTTTGTTTTTCTATTAAATTAATCATGATAATGATAAATACAAATGATATCTATAAAATACATATTCACAGAAGAAATAAAGAAAAAGGTAAATGCATATATATTTTCACTTGAAGGAAATCTGTTTGGAAGTCAAACAAGTTTTCGACCCATTCTTAGCCCAATGGCATATATCATGTCTTCTGTATTGGTTTGTCATGACCTAACTGTTCTTTACTGGTTATTAGTATAGTCTGAATTTTACTGACAACACTCACTTACTCTTCACTGACTCACTTATGTTTCATTGATATTTTGCTTTCTGTAGGCCTTATTTTAGAATGATTTTTTAGGTAATGAAATTACCATTATAATTTCTCATTTTGAAAATTTGCGAAAGAAATTACACATTATTTGGGTTATCATACATTTATGGTCTAAATGTGAGTTTTGCATCTAACCACATTTTAACAATACATAGCCATATTGTGAAAGAAACAAACCTGAACTGATTTCATAAACCACATGAGAAATTCCCAACTCTTCAATAACCACCCTAAACTCAACTCCCAGTATACACATGGTAGCTGATTGGGTAAAGACAAAGCTTCGCAGTCTTACCTTTGCAGGTCATTCTGAACATGGAATAAACTTTGCCGACCTCCATGAAAAAACTGACACCTCCAGTGGAGTCATCTTGATATTGTCTCAGGGGATGAAATGCCCTACTCCATTTCTGTTCAGACAAGCCAAATGCCACCTTTAAGACCACAGAGATTGAAATTCAATAATCTCTAGAATAGGAAGAGTGAGTGAACTCCTAAATCACAATGAACTTTTTACAGAATCTGAGACACTGTGGGTTTTCGAGACACGTGAATGATGCCAGACAATTTCGATAGCTCTTTGGAATTCTATAGTTTGTCTCGATTTAAACACATTGGCAGTTAGGAGATTTTGAGTTTTGTTTCAGGACACAGTAGTAAGTATGGCATCAAGTAATTGAGTATCTCATCCCCGTTGATGGCACACAGGGCCTGGCTGTAGCATGCTGCAGGGAAACTAACTCACCATCGCCAGGCTCACCTCACAATTAAATCTCAGCTGCTTCCTGTGTAAGGAGGTGATCCAGAGACCTATCGCTATGACTGAATGGGGACTATGGGTAATGCGATGACATTTAGACGCTGATCATAAGATTGACAAAAACAGTTCCAGCAACTGTATAGAGACATGTCTTGATACCTTTTTTCAAATGTCCGAGAGTTTGATACATTTGCTGTGTACATATTGAGCTGAGTCTCAGGTGTAATCAAATCACTTCCAGACTTCTATTTCTTAGACATGATTGTGAAAAAACTCTTTTTAAAGGGACGTCTGTGTCATGACCTTCACCTTCTCTCACCATGGATGATACAGATGACGGTACTTATTCTATGACCCTGCATTGTGAGCACCAGTGTATACCTTGATGTTTACCCATGACCCTGCACAATATTCTCCAGCACCCACCCTGATGTTTAATCTATGACCCTGCACAATGAGCTCCAGCATCCAACCTTGTGTTTAATCCACAACCCTGCACAATGAGCTCCAGTACCCACCCTGATATTCATTCCACAACCCTACACAATGAGCTCCAGTACCCACCCTGATGTTTAATCTATGACCCTGCACAATGAGCTCCAGCATCCAACCTTGTGTTTAATCCACAACCCTGCACAATGAGCTCCAGTACCCACCCTGATATTCATTCCACAACCCTACACAATGAGCTCCAGTACCCACCCTGATGTTTATTACACAACCCTACACAATGAGCTCTAGTACCCATCCTGATGTTCATTCCACAACCCTACACAATGAGTTCCAGTACCCACCCTGATGTTTATTCCACAATCCTGCACAATGAGCTCCAGCACCCATCCTGATGTTTAATCCACAACCCTGCACAATGAGCTCAAGTACCCACCCTGATGTTTAATCCACAATCCTGCACAATGAGCTCCAGTACCCACCCTGATATTCATTCCACAACCCTACACAATGAGCTCCAGTACCCAACCTGATGTTTATTCCACAACCCTTCACAATGAGCTCAAGCACCTACCCTGATGTTCATTCCACAACCCTGCACAATGAGCTCCAGTACCCACCCTGATGTTTAATCCACAACCCTACACAATGAGCTCCAGTACCCACCCTGATGTTTATTCCATAACCCTGCACAATGAGCTCCAGTACCCACCCTGTGTTCATTCCACAACCCTGCACAATGAGCTCCAGCACCCACCCTGATGTTTAATCCACAACCCTACACAATGAGCTCCAGTACCCAACCTGATGTTTATTCCACAACCCTACACAATGAGCTCCAGTACCCACCCTGATGTTCATTCCACAACCCTGCACAATGAGCTCCAGTACCCACCCTGATGTTTAATCCATGACCCTGCACAATGAGCCCCAGCACCCATCCTGATGTTTAATCCACAATCCTGCACAATGAGCTCCAGTACCCACCCTGAAGTTTAATCCATGACCCTGCACAATGAGCTCCAGCACCCACCCTGATGTTTAATCCACAACCCTACACAATGAGCTCCAGTACCCACCCTGATGTTTATTCCACAACCCTACACAATGAGCTCCAGTACCCACCCTGATGTTCATTCCACAACCCTACACAATGAGCTCCAGTACCCACCCTGATGTTTAATCTATGACTCTGCACAGTCAGCCTCAGTACCCAACCCTGATGTTTAATCCATGTCCCTGCACAGTGAGCTCCAGTACCCACCCTGATGTTTAATCTATGACTCTGCACAGTCAGCCTCAGTACCCAACCTGATGTTTAATCCATGTCCCTGCACAGTGAGCTCCAGTACCCAACCTGATGTTTAATCCATGTCCCTGCACAGTGAGCTCCAGTACCCAACCTGATGTTTAATCCATGACCCTGCACAATAAGCTCCAGGACATACAATGGAGCTGAGGGATACCACTTCACGCATGTGAGTTCTTCTGCACCACTTAGCCACCATTGTGATTACCCATTGTCCACAAAGATGAATGGTCCAAGGTAATGGTGTCTGTAATTCTACAACATCATGAAACACATTATCTATCACAAACAATAAACTAGATATTTTGAATCCAGTATCATTTCACATTACACATAGATCCCAACATTAATGATTTCTCCACATTATTCCAAGGTGCTCTGTATTAATCTAAAACATCAATTCTTCTAAAATGTCAAACATTGTTTGACATTTTGGATTAATTCCTTGCAAAATACACCATCAAATATTTTGAAACAAAACATGAATTTGTCAGATGTTTTCATGGTATTGATAGTCATCATTAAAGACTGTAAAAGCGAAATGATAACAAATGCCAAAGGAAATTTCCTTCAATAACATCTCATTTTTGTTTAGAGACAGGAATGGCTTCCAACAGTGTTTCAAGGAACCCGAGTCCAATACTCACCACGAGCAACTCCCAAATGAGGACAATGGTTCAATATCACGCAAGGACAATGAGTTTGTCCCTTCAAAGCAACACAATCCTCAAATGATTCTCTCAAAATAAGAAACTGTTGATTCAGTACCTTTAAATACAGACTGATTATTGCCCAGTACGTCATTGAGCTGAAAAGCAACACTACTGAAGCACTTCAGTTATTTTCTAATGTAATGTGATTTGTACATGTGTGTGATTAAATCCAAATAATGTTGTTTGAAGCCCATATTTTTCTCCCCTTATTCTAACACATAAATATGTTTCTTGACAATTTGTTTCTTCTCAGTACACTACTTGAATAAAAACCCATGGCAACAATTCATTTAAGATCCAGATGTATAAATACTTGACTTTCAAAGAAACAAATAACATTCATTGGGTAGTGCCTTTCAGCTGTTTGGAAGCAGAAAAAACACTTCTTAAAAAGACAATGTTTGACAATTATTACAATCACTTACAATTACAGTGTCCACAAACATTCTTGGGTTGTTGTATTTTTTCCACATTTTTTTATTCACATCAGTTGGTAGAGTCATTTTATACAAAAATCATACACATTGACAGGTGACAGTTCTAGTTACAATCGTTTTATACAAAAGTCATACAATCAAGGTTGTATAATTGTGGATCGTCTAAGCTTGAGCAATTAGGTAAGTCGGTGCTATGGGTAATATTACTTGTTTGCTCATGGGTTCATTTGGTTTGTTTTCATAATAGCACCATATCATTCTGGGTAACCAAGAGGTAGAAACATTCATACATTATTATGGAAAAAACTCTTCTTAAAAAGACAATGTTTGACAATTATTACAATCACTTACAATTACAGTGGGTTGCTGTCATCATACTGATGGTAAAAAACTCTGATATTGTTAAAAACATAAACCAAAGCATTGTCTCATCCAGATTTTTTTATGTCAATTATGCAATATTGGAGTATGGCACAAAACAGCATTCTCTCACCACTCAAATTTTCACAAATTATCACATAAAAATGATTTTGGCGCAGAACGTGATCCACTCACTAACTCAAATTTTCTTTGCAGGAGTATCAGGATGAAGTACCGTTTTCTTCACACCA